CGGCCATCGACGAACCTGACACCTCCAGTATCGAATAGGCGAAAATTTTCCTTCTTTCGCGCACCTACGCTGGTAGGAATTTCCGATACCATATCCGGAAATCCCCTTAGATACATGCGGAAGGCTTCCACTACGCCGCAATGACAAGATGACGTACACAGGGGCCTCTGAGTACTTCGAACCTTGGGTAAGAGAATATCTTAGGCAGAGACGCCCATAATTTCCCTGCCTAACCGAGAACCGATTGTGCCCCAGAGAGTTTCGCTGTACCGTAACCAGTGATCCAAGGTGCCCCGATTACCCCACTACGTATAACACGCAGTACGTCATATCCCCCGACTTCGTCGTTATCACTACCAATTTCCCTCCCTTCCGTCTCCTCCTCCCGTACCACCAACTCACGGTAGTACCGTGAAATTCCATCGCCCCATATTGGCCCCGCAAGCCGTGTAGAAACTGCAGACGACACGGACCCCGCCGAACCCCTGGAACTACGGAGCCTAACTATAACGCACGGCGACAGGCGCCATGTGTCTCCACCCGAAGACCCGACTCATAGAAATCGCCACCCGCCTGAACGGGTCTCTCCCGAACCGCCGATTATCAAAACAGACGGATCGGACAACCCTTGATGCACCACGCATGCTATCAGCTTTATGCTGCACGGCATCGAACGCCATCCGACCAGAAGCAACCCGCCCCTTAACCCTATTGCATCTATGACCCTGACCCCTCGCCACAGGAGATCTCAGTTCTGACCTGGGACTCCACCCCCACTTTCCCCAAAAATCCTTTGCACACCCCTTTTTGCACATCCAGGCCCACATCCCACTCCGATCAGGAAGTCGCGTTGGGCGTGAGGTTGGGCGTCACACCCGGCTAGAGCGGCGAAGGAGCAATGCAACCGCGTCCATCTCGGCGGCTCGTGGGATTATTTATGCATCGTCCTAAGTTGTCTCTTGTTTTGTTTTTGCTTTAACTCCTGTGTGACATGGCCAGGAGGGCTCCCACGCTTGCAAAAAGGTTGGAGTCGATGTGCTCGACAACTGCTAGGTTACAGAGTGGCCCGACCCACCCCAGAAACCCCCCACCTGCTAGGCTACAGGGCAAAGCAACCCGGCCCGGCTCCGGCCAGCGTCGACTAAGTATCAGTTCACTAACAGACACTAGAGTGTCTCCCAAGGTCTCATGCCCCTGTACCGGTCAGGTTACAGGGCAGCGTGACCAAGGCCCAGCACGGACCAGCGTCGTTCTGACCTCGTCCATTCGTAAACCACTGGGACCTAGGGCATCATCAGATACCAGACAAGCCACCATCGTCACCATAGCTGTAGTTCCGATCATCCACTCTTTCAGGGACTGGCTGCAGACATCCAGCCCAAAAAATCATCTCAATCATCTCAACCTTACTCCGGCAAGACTTACTGCGATAGAGCTACCATCTCCACCGCTGCTGTGCCCTATTTCCGCCCTACTGGCTAGCCCCTTCGCTGCAGAGTGCATTATCTCCAACCATCTCCACAAACACAGTCCGCTGCAACCAGCATCAAATTATGATTTTTTTTCTGTTACAACCTAAAAAAACAGAAGAATTCAGGGAGCTCAAATACAAGTGCAGGAATCGTAACGTAAAAAGACAGTCAACACCTATTCTTCCCACAAGGAGAGTGGATGGGAGGGAACTACTCCTCTCCGCATGGAAATTCCTGCGCCTATTCACATCTCTGCTGAGTGTAAAAGGCTCACAAGAAACTGAGCGGATTACTCTTCCCCCCTGCGAAAGCCTGAATACCCACATATGGAAATGTCAAAATTTGGCCTTTGACGAATATTCAGGCCTCGGCTTGCTGAGGCCTTAGCCCAGAACATGTGATGTTTGATAGGGCCCCTTGAGGGCTCGTTCCTCACACATATCACAAATTTATTTTCCATGTCAGAATTCATTTTCCAGAGTCAGTACTTGCATTCCTCGGTTTCCCTTTGAATATCGGAGTTGCATGGGTGTAATGACCCGTCATCCCACGGACTGTAACAGAGCTGATTTCTGAGTTTGCTCGTGGAATGCATGCCGTACTAAGTCCCCTGCCTGTTGAGTGGGTTGTGTTGGGTCTGAGTGCGTGCCTGTATGTGGTTGGCATGCCTGGGTGATGAATGCGTGCCTGACTGAGTGCTTGAGTGTGTGTGTGACCCCGTCGGGGCCATGGATGTTGGGCAGGCCCGGTAGGGCCGGTACTTACCTGTGGCGTGGCTTGTGAGGGGTGCAGCCAGAAAACACTCAAGTAGGCCGGTAAGTCCAATGTCGGGGTACTTGAAGGCCGAAAGGCCGAATCTTGGGGTACTTGAAAGTCCGGGCAGAAAAG